TACAGCTGTATCAAACTTGTCTGGCATTTTATTTATCTGTCTCTTGTAGACTCATGTGTCAATGCAACCACATTTAAAAGGTTATTATGTTTTCTTTTTAATCAATTTGTTTTTTTTTTTCCAAATAAGACAGTGAGGAATATTTACAGTGTTTGCTTAATATGTTTCAGCAGTCGGGCTGATGTGACAGGTCTTTCTGCACAGCATGCTGGGATTGGGTGCAAAGTCGAATTATTTCTGAGAGCCTTTGTAAGTGCCACAAGTGACTTTTTGGTGAATGCATGTATTTCATTACTTATTTTTTCTTCATTTTTTTTATCATACAGTCTACATTAGACAGCCAATACTTTAAAACACATATAGTGCATAAGGAAAGACAATGCAAGAAAGTACAAATGCACATTTGCATACATCAGACAAGAGATGTATGCATACACAATTGTATGCATACAATTGTCCAGCCCTTAGGGCTGGACAATTGTTTTACATTTGTTTATTTATTTCAAACAGGCATGAGATACAAATTATTCACAGAAAATTATGACAATAAGAGAAAACCTGTGCATGGATTGAAAAGGGATCAGTCGAAGCAAAAAGCTTCTTTTCCTATTTCAAGAAAAACTTAATATAAACATGTATAATATAATCTTAATATAAACATGTATAATATAATCTTAATATAAACATGTATAATATAATCTTAATATCAACATGTATAATATAATCTTAATATAAACATGTACCACATTCAAAAGTTCTAGTTTCTTAGTTCTCTTTCTATGTTTTTGTGTCTCTCTCCCTCTCAGTGTGTGTCTCTCTCTCTCCCTCTCAGTGTGTGTGTGTCTCTCTCTCTCTCTCCCTCTCAGTGTGTGTGTCTCTCTCTCTCTCCCTCTCAGTTTGTGTCTCTCTCTCTCCCTCTCAGTGTGTGTCTCTCTCTCTCTCCCTCTCAGTGTGTGTCTCTCTCTCTCCCTCTCAGTGTGTGTGTCTCTCTCTCTCCCTCTCAGTGTGTGTCTCTCTCTCTCTCCCTCTCAGTGTGTGTCTTTCTCTCTCCCTCTCAGTGTGTGTCTTTCTCTCTCCCTCTCAGTGTGTGTCTCTCTCCCTCTCAGTGTGTGTCTCTCTATGTCTCTGTGTTAACAGCCCTCTCTCTCTGGTTTCTCTTTACCCTCTGTGATAGTAACTATCTCTGTGTAGATCCACAAACATCCTCCTGGACAAACCATGCGCCCGCTTCAGGATCTCCGCAGCGTTGTCAGCAAGCTCTCCGTCTGTGTTGACATTTAACACGGCTTGTGAACAAACTCATCAGTGAGATCATCTCCTGACATGAAGCAGGAGCGGTCGGGTGATTGGAGTGCTCGTCCACCAACTGAGGCATCAATCTCCTCCTATCAATTTCCCTACAAGGGAAAAAGTAGGAAAGGCAAATTTATTTGTATAGCACAATTCATACACAAGGCAACTGAAAGATGGAGACAGTCACACACAGCATTGAAAACAAAAATCACAGTACAGTAAAAAAAAATAGGTTGCTATGATGGTTGCTAAGGCAATCTGGAGTTTCTCCTGAACGGATCAATCCTTTAATGGCTCATATTTGGATTTAGATGGATTATATCAAAATGAAAACCCCAATGAAATTGTCGCCACAGTCCATGGAAAGATTCCACTAAAGGGCTGTATGCTCTCATATACATGTATACATGAACTAAACAAAATAGAATTTCCCCTTTTGTGCAAGTACTAATACAATCCCTCAAAATTCAATTCTCATTTCTTTCAGCGCACGGATCATCTCTGTCAGCTCCCATAGCAACATTTGGAGTTTTTGGACCAAATCGCTTGTTTCTTGGTCAAGTTGTCAATCTTTTCATGGATCACACACCGAATGTGGACAGTGAGATCTGTAACTTTATTGAACACTTCCCACATTTTTACTACATAATGAATAAAAACAGCTCTTCTTCCGGACTGGGACCACATTAATTTACAGAGAAACAGAGAAAAGTTTCCACTAAAACACACTGTTAAGGGATTTTATTGGTGTTACATGTTCACTGTTCACTTGCAACAACAATTCAACACCGCTCTGTCTTTGTGCAGCTCAAACAACTTCACTGTTTGTAAAGTATTTCTTTGTCGAGCAGTTCGGCAGCCCGTTGCAAACAAAATCAATATGGCGGCGCCTACAGCTACTCTCGCAATAAGGTGAATAAAGTGTTTTATGAGTTCTCAGAAAAGAGGCTGAGGACAAACTCAACTTTAATAACTGTATCGTATGATGTTCTGTCATGAATCCGAGCAACAAAAAACATGTTTGTATCTACGCAGCCGACAGAATAGTTTCATTCTATAGCTGTCAATGTTCAAGAATAATGCACACACATATTTGGCTATTATTCCTGAGGACTCACAAAACAGACCTGGGAAAAACACAAGACATAATATTCAAGGGATCAGATCTTTCAAAGTAAACTGTGTAATTTTTGCAATTGCTCCATTTGAAGAAACCACGTTAACTAATAAGGAAATACTTGGTTCAGATAGGAAACTGTGTCTCAGATCATATGGCTCTGACCTGCGGAGTGCCACAGGGATCAATTCTGGGGCCTCTTCTGTTCAATATTTACATGCTGCCATTAGGTCAGTTAATACGCTCCAACAATGTATCCTACCACAATTACGCTGATGACACTCAAATTTATGTCTCACTTACTGCAGGAGAACATGGACCAGTGGAATCACTCCTTCACTGTACTCAACAGATTAGTGATTGGATGCAAAATAACTTCCTTCAGCTAAACGCAGACAAAACAGAATTGATTGTCTTTGGTCCTCAGAAACAAAGAGAGAGCGTTATTCGTCACCTCCAGTCTCTCTCCCTGGAACCTGTAGGCAAGGTCAGAAACCTAGGAGTTATAATGGACTCAGACTTAAATTTTAACAGTCATATCAAATCAGTAACATCAGCAGCATTTTACCATCTGAAAAATATTGCCAAAATTAGAAACATAGTGTCTAAATCAGAGCTGGAGATTCTCATCCATGCATTTGTCTCCAGTAGGTTAGACTACTGCAATGGCCTGCTCACAGGTCTCTCCAAACAGGCTGTAAAACAACTGCAGTATGTCCAAAATGCTGCAGCTCGAGTCCTGACCAGGACCAGGAAATATGACCACATTAGTCCAGTTCTCAGGTCTCTGCACTGGCTTCCTGTGGCTCAGAGAATAGACTTCAAAGCAGCACTGCTTGTGTACAAGTCTCTCCATGGCCTCGCACCAAAGTACTTAAGCGACTTGTTAGTGCCATATGAACCGGCCTGGACTCTGAGGAGCACAGGAGGTAGCCTCTTACTGGTTCCAAGAGTCAGAACTAAACATGGGGAGGCAGCGTTTGAGATTTATGGAGCTAAAATCTGGAACAATCTTCCTGAGGATGTGAGGCTAGCATCTACTCTGGCAATTTTCAAATCAGGGCTAAAAACTGTTCTTTTTAGCTGTGCATACGGCTGAAGGATTTTATTGATACATACTCTTTTTTTTTTAATGCATTGTGGTTATTTATTATTTTAATCCCGTGTGTGCTTTTAATATTTTAAGGGTTTTTTTTTTCATTACTTGTGATTTTATTCTGTTTTTAATGTATTTATTGTTTGTATAAGTAGTTTTTGATGTTTCTGATTTGTCTGATATTATGTGGGTTGTGAGGCGCTTTGAGTGGCCTTGTGTTGGAAAGGCGCCATACAAATAAAGTTGATTGATTGATTGATAATAATAGACGTGATCTTTTTAATATTTTTTATCTCCACCATGTTTTTGAATTGTTTTCATAGGCTTAGAATTTGAATTATAAATTTCAGAACTTCTTGTTTACATGTCAGCCTCCGCGCTACTGTGTCAAGTGACCGAGATGTATGGAGGGATCCGGTTCTTTTTCAAACTAAAGGATTCTTTTCTTGGGCCCGGTGAAGGACTGAGAGTTGAGGAGCACTGTCAAAGACGACATATTGTCCATCGAAGGCTTCTGTAGTTCCCTGGACTGCAATGATCTCTGCGCTAGATGGGAGTAAAAACTACACAGTTTACCTTTAAGGTGGCGGTGAATCCTGACCATATCGATCATGTTAGGACGAGTTTAATATCTCTGTACTTACGCATATTTTGACGTTATTAACCTTTGTAAACTTGTACTCTGCATAAAAAACGGATAATAAACCTTCAGGCCGATAGTATTATAAACACTGCCTCTCGTTTCTCAACAAAACTAAATAAGGTTTATTTTGCCCTTGATTTTTATGAAGCTTGAAGCGTAAATTCAGACTGAGAAGACCTCAGTCTCATCCAAGGCCAGCCTCGTCAGCCCCAGCAATCACACAGCTCTGCCAGCCTCGAGCCTCAGCCAATCACACAGCTTGACCAGCCCACCTGCCAACCACTGACAGCAAAGCGGGCAGTTTAAAAGCAGCCACTTCCTACAAACCAGCGCTTTGAAGCTCTTGCAACCCACCGCCTCCCCAGCACCCCCTCAAGCTCCTACCCCTGCTCCTGCTCTGTCTCCTGCTCCGCATCCGCCCCATTCACACCATGCTTCTAGCCACCACTAGTGCTTGACCCCGGGGGATCTGAGATCATTCTAAGCAACAATGATCCCCTCTCTGCAAGTGTCCCTGCCGGGGTCAATGCGCCAAACAATAAATCCTTTAAATGCATTAACGTGTTTGTCTTGGTCTCTCCAGATTGAATTAATTTTATTTGACATGGCTTCACTTTCCTTTCATCTTGTATCCTGATATCGGTAATCCACATTTAATTCTGACATCTTTCATCTTTATAATGATACCAGGCAAATAGCCGATAAACGCACATTCATCAAACCAAGTCTCTGCATCCACATGATTGGCACGTTTGAGCAGGGCTTGATAAATTGTGCATTTTGACAAGTGGATGCAAATTAGACTTATATCAACATCTGCCACCATCACAGCCAAGTCAGAGTGTGAAAGCATGGCACTTATGAAGCTCGGTTCTGGAAACACAGGAGACAGCTGGAGCAAAGAGCCCACATCAAAGTCTGTGGCACTGACAGACGAGAAGGGAGAGAGGAGAGAGGAGGGAGCCAGGACAACTGGAGACCACTGGGTTCCAAAGTTTTCTTTTAGGTAACTTTCTTATGAAGTTTCTACATTCTTTGAAAACCTTGCACCATGTTTTGCAGTTAGAAATTGATTTAAGAGGTGAGATATGTCCCATACTGGTGAAATGTTGTAGTTGCATTGATTTTTAACAATTCAATTAAATGTATTTGTGTATAGCCCTAAATCCTAACAGTGGTTATCTGGGAGGACTTTACACAACGGTTGAATTCGCCAACACAGATCAGGGAATCAAACAGTTCAAACGAAAGAACAGAAAGAGGCAGATGTCCAATGTCTAAGGGGTTGATAAATACCCCGGGTCCTGAAACTGTGCTCTGAGCAACTTGCCCCTGTGCTAACAGACATCTTTAACCTGTCGCTAAGGAACTGTACTGTGCCGAACTGCTTTAAAGAGTCGACCATTATCCCAGTTCCTAAGAAATCTCCTGTGACATGCCTTAATGAATATCGCCCTGTGGCCCTCACTTCTGTCCTAATGAAGACTTTCGAGCGGCTTGTGTTGGACTTCATTAAGAGCCAGATCCCTGTGAGTGTTGACCCGCTCCAGTTTGCTTACAGACAGAATAGGAGTGTGGAGGATGCCATCTCCTTTGCTCTGAACTCTGTCTACAGTCACTTGGACACTAGTAAATCTGTCGCGAGAATGCTTTTCATCGATTATAGCTCTGCTTTTAACTGCCTTGTCCCAGGTAAACTGATTGAAAAGCTCATGTCTCTCGGTTTAAGTGTTGCCATGTGTAAATGGATCTATAGCTTTTTAACTGACAGATCTCAGAGAGTGAAAATCAATGACTGTTTTTCAGATGTTGTTTCTGTGAGCACTGGATCTCCTCAGGGATGTATTTTGAGTCCTTTACTTTTTACACTGTACACTCATGATTGTGTGTCTTCCTCAGACTCTAACCTGATCATCAAATATGCTGATGACACCACCATCATCGGTCTCATCAGTAATAACGATGAATCCTCTTATAGAGCCGAGATCCAAAACGTGGTTCAGTGGAGTAAGGCTAACAACCTCCAGCTGAACGCATCCAAAACATGCGAACTGGTCTTTGATTTCAGTCGCAATAGTTCTCATTTGCCTGTCGCAATCGATAACTCCCAAGTGCAGATTGTAGAGGAGTGTAAGTTTCTGGGTCTAACTCTGTCTAATGACCTGAAATGGGTTAAAAACACTGACCGAATCGTAAAGAAAGCTCGTCAGCGTCTCTACTTCCTGCGGAAACTTAGAGAATTTACCACTAACTCTAAGATTCTGCTGAACTTTTATCGCTGCACCATTGAGAGTTTGCTTGTTGGTTCTGTGTCTGTGTGGTTCGGTAACATCACAGATAAAGAAAAGAGAGCTCTAAACAAGGTGCTCCGCTCTGCAGAGAGGACCGTGGGCTGTGAGCTTCCTGTTCTGGAGGTTCTTTATCAATCCAGACTTTTTAACAGTGCCCTGAGAATTATCAGAGACTCTTCTGGCCACCCAGGAAAAGCCTTGTTCCAGCTTCTTCCCTCTGGCAGAAGATACTGTTCTCTGAGATGCAGGACATCTCGTCATGCTAACAGTTTTTCTTCCACGAGCTGTTAACAGTTTGAATAGAGCACTTTAATGTTTTGCACTCGTATAGATCTGTTTTAAGTTGGTCAACTTCACGGTGACATTTGTTGTGACATTTGTTTACTGTTTTTAAAATTTGTTTTATTTTTGTCTTTTAATGTTGTTTTGTGTCTGTACTTGTCCTGTGCACACGGGGAACTTTTACAAATGTATTCCAATGTGGTGTATACATACTGCAAATGGCGAAATAAATGAATCTGAATCTGAATCTGAATATCCATAAAGACAGAGCAGACACACATAAGTTAGATTGATGTTAATGCTTCTTTAGCTTTGCGGTTATTTTAGACCAGCATCGTCCTGGATATTCTATGTCTTGGCTTAAAATGTTCCACAGCAAAGCAGTAGATGGCAGGACACATGCCACATATGTGACCTCTAACTTGGTGTGAATCTCGGTCCTTCTGCATTAAAAGACTGTGAGGACATACACCGAGGGGGCAGAGTTGGGTGGGAAACCACTGAGGCCAGCACAAGGACAAGGTTGTGTTCGCACCAAGTTGACTGGAATGGAGCATTACTATGATTTTCTGGAGACGCAGAAGATATTTAGTTGTAAGATGACTATTTCCAAGAAGAAGCTAAGTTTTATCATGAAAAGGCAAAAAAAAAAAGAGTTTGCATGTTCTCAAGTGCAATTTGATGGTGCTTACACTAAAACTGTAGCCACAGCTGTCCTGGGGTAAATACTTCAATTCAATTCAATTAAAATCAAATCTTGTATAACCCTAAATCACAACAGATCAGAGAATCAAATAATTGGTCCGTAAGGGGCAGATGACCAATGTCAATAAGTGTTGATAAATGGCATTAAATAGATTGAAGCAAGACTAAAAAAGCACCACACTCGTACCAACATGGTGAAGTGTCTTGCCAAAGTAAACAACAATAGCGTGTTGTCCCACTGTGGCACCTGCTGATCTCCCATCCAAGTATAATCATGCATAATAACATCCTGCTTGATAAAAAATTATAATTATACAGAAGGAAAATAAATCCCTCTAGGTGCACTTCTTGGAGGAGGAGATCGCAGAGATGGCTGCTGGAGTTGAATTGAGTCGGAGAGTTATAGCAGAAACACGTGTAGCTGCTGGTGGAGTGGATGAAGAGTGCATTTATGTGACAAAATGGAAATGATGGTTGTGAGAGGCAAATGCTTATTTTTATTGATAATGGATTTGCTCATATTGAATGTATGCTATATTGAATATATTATTCCTGTAATCAAACTTGAACACACAATCATACACATGGTAAAGTGTCTGTCGAGAATAACAAGACTGATGCCGTGATCCTGTGCATAAAAGCCCTGGTGACTTCAATTTCGGGTTTGTAGTTATTTTGTCAGACAGAAAGAAGCTGATAGAGCCACATACAAAGTCCCAATTCTTGAGATATTAAAACTTAACAAAACTATATTAGTACCAACGTCTCTGTGGCTTTACATCATTTAAATCTGATTCATTGAATATTCCCCATGTTTGTTCCAATACCAAATCCAAATCATGGAGGCCAGATTCCACACGTTTTTGGTTTTGTTTTTGGCATGTAATGTGTGAAAAACATCAAATTTAAACGCTCTACAATAGAAAAAAAGAAAACTGTCAAGTCTGGACAGATGTAGAAACATAATCCGTCTCACAAAAGAGCGGAGCGCAGTTTGCACGTCTGTTTTCCCTGTCTGCTTCTATTATATTTGTTGGTTTTGCTTCCTGCACAGCCCGGGCGGCCTTGGAGGTGTCAGACAGCTGTTGGGTGACCTGCTAACACCCAGCCCCTGTATATTTCACACAAATTGGAGGAATCGCACGCAGGCGGCTTCTGTCACACCTCAGATGTTTGGGTGACTCTGAGTTTCCCCAGGATTCTGCGAACGGGTCGGTGTGATGGCCGAGGGCGGCGTTCGGACAGATGGGAGGTCAAGCGATGTACTGTCAGCGCGCAGGTCAACACCAACAACTCCAGTCAGAGAGGGTGTATCCAGAGGCGAGCAACTGAAAAGTGGCTCTGTCGACTGGAAAAAGGATCGTGGAGAGAGGAAAAACAAGATTCTCTGGGTTCAGGGTTGCTAGACAGGTGAGGGAGGAGTGGAAAAATATAAATTCTACCTTTTGTGATTTGATTTTCTTTCTAATGCATCTAAGATCACGTTCGTAAACTGTTTTATCTTTCTCACAAGAAATACGCTATTACCCATGATTTTTATCAAACTTTTATCGCTTTTTTGGGCCAGGGGAAACAGGTTTATGAGTAACTTTATGTTCTGTAGTGAGTGGGAGTTTCTGATGGGTTGTAGGAGTGAGTTCCAAAGACTGGGGGCAGCTGCGGCGAAGGCTTGTTCCCCCCCTCGATTTTTGGCAATTTGAAGTTATAATGGCCCTCATTTATGAAGTTTGCGTACGGCCAAATCAGGGTGGAAATGAGGCGTAGGCAAAATATTTACACTTTTCCGCATTTATCAATCTGGACGTGAGCGTACGATACGCAAAAAATATACACCAGGTCAGGAGGTGGTGTAAATGTGTTCGCTCATTTCACCCTTCGGCACAACTCGCCAAAACACGTATGAAATTCAAGATTTGGACTCCAATTACCATATTCACACTCTGGCAAAATTATAAGATGTGTTTTCATTGAGCATCATGTTTCAAAATTTGAATTTGCCCATTAGAAAAAGTCCAACACTCTGGAAACACGCAAACTTCGAATAAATCACAGATCATGATGAGGACCCTCTTCTGTTTCTTTGATTTTAAATCTGACTTTAAATCAAACCTTGATTGTCTATTATTAAAAGATGGTGTGGCCGAGAGGTCCAAGGTGCTGGATTTAGGTTCCAGTCTCTATAGAGGCATGGTTTCAAATCCCATCACTGCCAAAATCTTTGCTTCAAAGATAAAAAAAAAAACTACTCAAGCTGGTGACAATTAACAGAACTCTGACTAATAGCCAAAGAAACAAAATAAGTTACATCCCTTTTAGGTATTATATTTGCAATAGTAACATGGCATCATTCATTTGATTAAAACGATCTTGGAGATGCTGGAGATTGAGCCCAGGACCTTACACATGCAAAGCATGCGCTCTACCACTGAGCTACATCCCCTTTTGGTACAGTTTTATATTACAAATTATAATGCAACTACTAATGCAATAATCTGTTTCTTTGGCTATTAGTCAGAGTTCCGTTAATTGTAACCAGCTTGAGTTGTTTTTTTTAATCTATGAAGCAAAGATTTTGGCACTGATGGGATTCCTGAGCTCTGGTAACTCTGGTAACTAAGCTCTGGATGGAGCTCAATGACACAGGATCATTTTTAGCGTGCAGGAGGTACTGAATTAAATTCCCAAAGTCATCCAACATTTCACAAACCTTGATTAACTAGAGATGCCTGCTAAATTGGAGACGTAGCTCCTAGGTTCAATCTCCATTGTCTCCAAGGTGTTTTTAATCAAAATAAATATTCCATCTTATTATTGCACATCTTGAAAACAAGTTGTTGGATAACCAACTGTGATAATATCATACCTAAAGGGGATGTAGCTTAGTGGTAGAGTGCACTCTGTTTCTTTGGCTACTCTACAGATTTTCCTTAATTGTCATCAGCTTGGGTAGTGATTTATCTTTGAGGCAAATATTTTGGTAGTGGTGGGATTTGAAACGAACACTACATTCATAGCATGCATGAGGTACTGGGTTAAATCCCCTAAGTATCCAACATTTGTCATGGATCTGATGTTTTTTCAATGTTGTTAATCTTTGGTTGGTTCACAAACCTTGATTAACTAGAGAAGCCTGCTAAATGGGGGGATGTAGCTCCTAGGTTCAATCCCCATCGTCTCCAATGTGTTTTTAATCAAAATAAATATTCCAACTTATTATTGCAAATCTTGAAAACAAGTTGTTGGATGACCAAACTTAAACAAAAAAGAAATACTTAAAGCTCAGTGGTAGAGTGCAATGGTATGTTGTTTTGGGAGAAACAATAAAGCCCACTCTTGAGCAACAGTCCGGAGTGTCCTTAAATCCGCACCACGCATTTGACTGTGAGGGTCAAACTAGAAGGGAGGTACTAGAAGGGAGAAAAGTGAGCTACTGGAACAAGGCGAAAGTGGGCGAGATGTTTTATATATATATATATATATATATAAGCTATAATATAGCGTACATTTATTTTAAAAAAAGCCTTTTGAGGCTTCCAAACTGTCTTCCTGGCCGAGTTTTGTGCTGACCTGTCGTAAATACAGGGTGTGGAACTGACGGTTTCTAAATATTTCTAGGCGTGACTTTCATTAATACGCTGGTTTTCACTGCAGCACTTATGAACAGCCACGGCTGCGTACGCTCAGATTTGTGCGTATATCACATGTTTATAAATGCCACATTGAGCCTGGCGTAAATGGAATATACACCAAAAATATACACCCTTTTCTGCGCAACTTTCCTACATGAGGGCCAATGAGACTATTTACTTTAATTTTAGCATGAAGGACCCTATCTCAAGTAAAAATATGAAACGAGTATGAAGGATAAAAAAGTTCAGTTTGAGGGAAAGGGGAATTTATTTGAATGTTACCGGCTACCAACACATATATGTGTCATTTGACCATGGTCTCCAAAACGAATGTATGTGCACTACTTTTTTGTTTTTAAAAAGTAAAAATCTGCTCCGAAGACTTAGGAAGATCAGCAGGAAGACGTAATATGATGCACAATATCACATCCCCAACAGTCCTCTCCACCACCACATCGGCCCCACTCCCCACCACATCGGCCCCACTCCCCACCATATCGGCCCCACTCCCCACCACATCGACCTCCCTCAACTGCGATCTTGAAGTCTCTCGCGGTCACGCGGCGCCTAAAGCCCGGATCTAATGGCGTTCTGGGCCTAGGCCCCTGGACTTTAGGTTGTGTTTGTGACCGCAGCCTAAGAGGGTGATTTCAGAACAGCTAGGTTGCCCAGGGGCAGAGAATCTGGACTGCAAAACTGTTTTAATCACCTTCATTAGCACCATATATGGAATGTTGTGACACTATCGAAAACAAATGTCAATCTATACCAGTGTTTTTCAACCTTTTTTGAGCCAAGGCACACTTTTTTCACTGAAAAAATCTTGCGGCACACCTCCAGGAGAAAATGTAAAAATGTATACAGTACTAATGTAAAAAAATATATACTGTACATACTCTGTGTGATATATAAAGTATATCTTATCTTATAATGTATACAGTATACTCTGTAGCCTATATTCACAATATACAGTTATTCTCATCAAAATGCTTAAGTCCAGGCCTTGAAATTAAGCTTTATTTAATATTTCTCGATACAATTAACAAGAGTTTGGGAATAAAGTGGCACTAACTGTGTGGAAAAAAACTAAGAAAATCCACTCTCTGCCCAAATAGTCAAATAATAACTCACACAAAGAACATGCATTGTTAGTGCATGGGAAACATTTTGGTATCCGAGCTTTAAATTCAGGAGTTTTGGATGAGGGACACGGGAGGTCCTGAACGCGAGTCCATGGTTCTGTCCGGTCCGCATGTCTGTGGTTCTGTCCACTCGACTACGGTCTGCGCTCGGTACCCAGTTCAGAAGTGCGTTCGCGAGAGCTGTTGTACAAAAATCGTACATTTCATAGTTAAACCACTACAACGCGGCCACAGCTACCCCGGGGCAGAGCGGAGGATGTTAATCCTGTTCAGAAACGGCATAATCCATCCATCCATCCATTTTCTACCCTTTAATCCATTTCTGGGTCAGGGGGGTGACAGTCAGAGATGCCACCCAAGTCTCATAGCACCAGCCCCTCACTGACCCTCTGCAGGTGGTGAGTCCACAGGAGGACGGCTGCTCTCTGAGTGTGAGCATAGCCTTGATCTTTCAGTGGGGGCTTTGGGCAAAGTGGGGTTAAGTGTCTTGCCCAAGGGCACAACGACAGCAGTCATCAGTGGGAGTCGGTGGAGAAGGTGCAGAGGTGGGAATTGAACCCACGACCTTCTGGGCTTAAGGCCAATGCTCTACCAACTGAGCTACTGTCGCCCCCCAGAAACGGCATAATTCACGTATTTTTTTTTTGAAAATGAATTATGCCAGAAACGGCATAATTCATTTTCAAAAACGTCTCTATCACTTTCACTTCTCACTCGCCACAAAGCTCTTGTCTCGCTCCCTCACACATTTGTTGGTCGCATCCAATTTTACCTTTCTCGCCACAATGCTGACCTGTTACAGCCAGTGGTCGCATCCAATTTTTCAGTTTCAAAGTACTTAGCTATCTGCTGCCATCTACTGATTTGAAAAAGTATTACATGGTTACTCACAGTTCAAAACAAGTCACCGCTCGTCAACAGCGAATGCAGCTATTTTTAGACAAAGTAGACGAATTTCTCACGGCACACCAGACAATATCATACGGCACACTAGTGTACCGCGGCACAGTGGTTGAAAAACACTGCCTTAGATTATTGAAAACATCAGGAGTAACATGGAAAGAAGTCAGCACTATATAGTGGAAAGTAATAAAAAAATGTCCTTACTTTCAGTAACCAACAGTTGGTATCACTGGTTTTCACATGCATGTATTTTGGGCTCTGTCTTCAGATCAGGTTTTTCAGACAGAAAAACAGAGGACCACCCTCACTCAGCTCTCAGCCCAAAGCATCAAATAGTTTATTTATTGTTTATTTGGTTGGGACAGTACATGTTAATGAACACATCACTCCGGATTGTAGCCTTGGGCTAATTTGCATCCATTGTCCCACATTTGCACTCACAAACAAATAATGACTCCCAGGGCTCTTAAGTATGCAAAATAAAAAAACAAGACGCCTGTTGTGGTGTGTTCTTTTGGATTTGTTTGCAACATTTTACTTTGGTGCACAAAGTGGGTTCACTGAGGTGTTGTCAAAGCGGCTGTCTGTACAAAGCGGCCACAGCTGCCCTGGGCTCAGAACGGAGGATGTGAATGCTGTTCGAGTATGTAATGCAAACAACAGAAAGTTCCCGCGGTCACACATTTAACAGAAATTACGTTTTCAGCGGAAAAAATAACATTTTAATCCCTGGTTTATCCAGATGCATTTCATTCATCCAGAGAATTTACCAATGAAGAGAGAATTGGTCAAAAAAAGATAAACAAAGCCGCTCCCGGCTTCAGATGAAGAAATAGTGTCCCGGCCTGAATGGGTGAAAGTAATGCATCACTTGCCTGATCGGGCAACTTGCTAAAACAGCGCACTTGCCCGGCCCAAATCTTTTGTTGCCCCGGGCAAACGGACAACCGTTAATGTCGAGCCCTGATAGTATAATAGGTATCACAGATATAATTAGGCTTGTGATTGTGAATGAAAGTTGTTTGCAGTATATAAGAAAACACTGCCCTTGGGTGGTATCCTATGGTATTGCAGACTATAGGTCACAATGAATTACGGCTATTAAAGGCTCTGTTTTTTGTACTTACAATTGCGCTTAAAATGTTACGCTCCCTTGCAGTAATACAATTATTTTGCCCTTGTTTTGGTGAATTATGAATAATAACCTTTTTCCCACTCATTGGTGTGGTTGTGTGAAGCCATTTACAGTAGAGAGCTGTACAGTTTATTCATTATGTGGCCCAGAAATTACAGGAACTCCAGGAATTTTGCTAAGAAAAGACGGAAAGGCTCCAAGCTGTCAGAGATGCCCACGTGCTATTGAGGACTGGGGGATGGGGACAGGGTCAGTAGAGGAGTTTCTCTCATCATTATCATTTATAAAAAGTAAACACGTTAATTTGACAATAAATGGCTTCTACAACCACCTCCAATGAGTGGGAAAATATGTTTGAGTTTTTGTTTACATCTCTTGAATATGGCCAAACAATAAACGTTTCTTTTAAAGCTGCACTAACTGACTTTATTTTTGTATTCATTACGAAAATGCTATCCATGTCCATGTAGTGCATTGGGATATACGTCCTTTTGAAGAATAATTAGCGCAGATTTGTGCTGGCGTGACATTATATTTTAGATCGAGTTTTGATGAAACAAGGAAGAGAATGTGTTTCGGGTCGCAGATTGTGACCAATCACAGCGGACCAATAGCCCCCACTTTTGTGAGAAATCTACAGGTCCGTTAGCATAGACAGCTGAGTTAGCACAACAAGCCGAGGAGCTAACCTGAAGCTTCGTGTCTTCATCACCGGTTACTGCTTACTTAGCGAAACAGCCATCCAAAAGAAAGTCCCGTTCCTCCGCGCTTCCCGGTTCTATCGTTTTATGGTCACGCCATCCACGTACAAATCCATATTCATGTATTATCCATATTGGGAGACACTAGCTCCGTCCCAACAGTGGGTGTGTGTGGGGGGCGATAGCTTCGTGGGTGCGGGGAGGGGAGCAGAAAGAGAGAGGCCAGCGGGTCCGCGGCTTCAAAATCCCAAAGTCAGTTAGTGCAGCTTTAAGGTGTGTACGCTTTCAAGTGTACTTACTGTATTTAATCGAACACTAAAACCTTTACAGATGGACGGAAGAGAGAGAAAGGAGCCTGAAAGGGATTCCAAACTGTCCGTGAGTCCTTCCCCATCCAACGCCTCCTCCAACACCTCTCTCACCACACCTCCAGCAAATACCCCTCCTGAGGTAAAACTAATAGTTCAGCAGCTTAACTCCAATATGCATAAGAATCGTTCAACGAAATTTGGTACATACATAGCCAAATGCATACCAAAAAGTTTTGGAAATGGAGGCATCATTAATTTTCAACATGGCGCTCATTGCAGCCATTTTTCAAAAGGGCCGTCAGAAACAACAGTTTTCTTATGAGTGATGGATATAATGTGATTTTGTACACATAATTCGATTAATTACCATAGGTGCTTGCTAGTGGTTTTTTTTTTCACATTTATATTCAAAATTCAAAATGGCCACCATTGTTTCCAGACTGGTTTGATACCATGGATCTATAAAAATAACTGGATAGGGTATTAATAGCTTATAGCTGTCCCACCTATGGGCCAAGCCCCGGTGATCCAAGATGGGGGGCTTCAAATGAATGGCTTGTGCTCAGTAGCGCATGGGACTTCAAGGAGACCGGGAGATTAGCTGAACTCGCCTATATTTGGGCATCGTCTGGTGCTCCGGTTCTGCGCAGTGGGCTATCTCCCATGATGCGTCGCGCCAAATACGCGTGTGTGGCTTTCATGCACGTGCACAGAGGGGCTCGGCCGCGCTTTGACCAATCAGAGCTGCTGATCAGAGCAGCGGTAGAGCGGAGTCAGAGCGGGAAGGAAAGGAGCAGAGTTTGTGGCAGTAAAGTGTGGATTTAAAGAAAACCGAAGGATTTAAGAAGAAAAAAAGTTCAGGATGACAAGGGACACTAAAATCCCCACAAAATCCGATCTTTCTGAAAGCTGTAGGTTCTTTGTCAGCTGAGGTCGAGCTGTTTTAATTTACATTGAGTTCTAAGGGGCTTTTTTCTGGGTAGCCCACGTGAATTTAGTCTGCAGTACCATGGGGCGCCCCCTGTAATACCCCTTAATATTATAGATTCATGCCCGTCCTCACGGCATCTACGACATATCCTTTGCTGACCGTGTCATCGCTTAAGAACACTTATGTAAAATCAACTTGGCTCTTATTAGCAAACTTTCACCATAGAGTTCACTTGACATGTGTACTTTCGTAACTCAATAGTGTCACAGAAACGGTCACACCAAAACAGGGTTCCCACATTTTCACAATAGACACATCAAAAGTATGGCCAGCAGTACGAAGAATAAATGTAAAATATGTTTCTCTTTATATTAGACATTTTTGGAGTACATCATGAAGTGTGTTAAATATTGATCCTAAT